CCCCTCTTTTTTTTTTTTAAAACCGTAAAAATTTTATAAAAAAAAAAAAAAAACACCCCCCCCCCCCCCCCCTTTTTTTAGGAGAATGTCTGAGGTAAATGAAAAAGTCTCTATAACAGCCCCAGAGTTGGGGACTCCGCCCTTAAGGTCAGATACAGGGCCTGTAATTGGGGGACTGCGTTTGCGATCTGCACCAGGAGCTTGTTTGTTGTTTGCCGGTGTTTTGCTGATAGTAGGAATCTGCATCGCTGTGGGGGGGTACTGGAACAATCAACCCCGCAGACAAACACCACATCACGTTTCAACAGGACGCACCGCTTCAGAGAAACTGAAGCTGATTGGTCCTGTCATCGTGGGGGTGGGGCTTTTCATCTTTATTTGTGCCAATACAATTCTCTATGAAAATCGTGACCGAGAACAACGTCATGAGCGAGACCAACATAAAGATGACAAGGAGATCCTGCCACTGGTACAAACTCATAGGAATAATCATTCAAACCGGTTCTCACAAACAGAAACCAACACCAACGCACATACATTGGACTTGTCTGAACTCAACATCCATTGCTTAGAAGAAGGGTCCGGAATTCCCACCCTAAAGTGTTCTTCGCCATCCTCTGGCTCATGTAGCTCCAGTCAAGTGAACTTGGAAACTTGCTCACCCCTCCGAGATCGCAGAAACATGGAAAGATTGGCCTTGCCTGCCATTAAACTCAATGACTGTATGATTGGCTCCTCAGACCCAGTGCCTCCACCTCTCCCTGAACGGACATACCGGAACAATTTGGGAGTGGAAAATATAACAAATGTGGAGCTAACACAGGTGAACCTTGCAGATTAGTCTCTAATGACATTGAACAAAGAAGAGCCAAAGGATCGGTAGACTTTTATGACGGTTGTCCTCACTAAGGTCCACATAGAGAATATATTGAATATATTCAAGCCAAAAGATGTTAGGGCTGAGTATAGAACAGATTTCTCGATTTGATTAGATTCTGATTCATTTGGATGTATTTTAATTATACACTCTAAAAAATGCTGGGTTGTTTCAACCCAATGTTGGGTCAAATATGGACTAACCTAACTGTTGGGTTAAAAAGCTAATTTAAAAATGTAACCAAAATTTAACCCAACAGTTGGGTTAGTCCATATTTGACCCAACATTGGGTTGAAACAACCCAGCATTTTTTTAGAGTGTAAGGTCCATTTTGGTTACAGTTCTTTCACTGTTATTGCTGTAATTATATAGTGTTTCAGATTCAAGCTAGCTTGTCATTTTGAACCCGCTTATTTGCATGAATCAGGCTTCAACGGTCGCACTGTATGTTTTTGATTCACCAAAAAAAAAAAAAAAAACTCATACGAGTCATTTGTTCGTGAATTGCACTACACTGGTAATGTGTGTCTTTTTATCTAGGCAGTTATTTTGTGTCATCATGTCGCAGTGCAGTCTTTTTATTAAATCACAGTATACGGAACTCACATTCGCAACTCAGGTTAAAGATTATTTCTTTTGCTATGGTGCTAAAAAAAGTAAAAGATCAATCTTGAGATTTTAAGATACGTTATTGCGATAATTCACAATTAATTGGTTCACAATTAACCAGAAACTCTGTATTTTACCCATCCCCAAATTACATTTTTTGTCACTTTAAAATCACTTTAGCATAGGTTAACCCTTAGCCTAGGGTTTTCTGAGAGAAATAGTCGATTTTCATGTAAGTGGATGAGTAACTAGAGATTAGATTTTTAGAGGTTTTGAATGAATCTTACTTTGTATTGTCACTTGATTCCAGTGTCTTTTTCATATAGTTGCTTTGTAAAATGCATATGCAGTGTTGTAGCGTTTGATTGATAGATTGTTACCTGACTTGTGAGTGTTACATAAGGCTTTTTGTCGATTTTTGTTCATGTGAATGTTAAATAATCAATTATATATGATCCTATTTTTAAATGTGGTGCCACCTACACATGCCCAAAAGAATAGAGACTGCACTATGTGTCATTGTGTTTGTAGTGCTGGTCTTTATAGTTCACATAAATGTCAGAGCGAATATGAAAGGTGGCCACCTGTGAGACACAGTACAATAGACACGTGTGCATGCAAACAGCTTCTCCAACTCCTATCTTAACAGTTCTACATCCAACATGTTGAAATTGTTAGAGACTGAAAGACAAGCTTCTATAAGTCACAGCACAAAGTGGTGTGAGTCACATGTAGTCATACAGTGGCGACTAATGCTCTATTTTGATTAGTTTGGGTTAACCATGAACTGTGCGATTGCTGCAAAACCAGTACAGCTGTCTGGTACCCAGCAAAAGAGCTTAGTAATGTGGATTAAAAGTTGCTTTAATAGTTCACTATACACTAAAGGGGTGAAGGATGGTCTGGGTAGTATGGTCTAGTGAGTTGTAACTAAAGTTGTAAGGAAGTTGTAACTACAGTATAAAGTTTTTCCTTGTTAGTAATTCTGTCTTGTTTTACAGTTAAATATCTAAAAAAAATTCAACTTAATTTAGTATAATTGTTTAAAATAAAAAATATTTTTAGAGATTTTGAAGTAAACACCTAAGAATAAACACCTCAGATTTGGCAGTGCATATGACAGCTTTTATTCCTTTTGAATATAATTGAATAGGTATAAGCAGAAAAAAATAAATAATTATGTTAAATTAGATTGATCAAACTGAAGAAAACTGCAAAAGAGGATTATATTCTATAAAACATGCAAAGCATTTGGTTTTTCAACACATTCGCATACTTGAATGTTTCAGCAGTGATTAAAGGCAAAGTTCAAACTGTTTAAATTCAGACATATATTAGCTCTCGTGGGCGAAACAAGACTGTTTTTCCATTGTCTTCAGTCTGCAAAAGAAGATTTTACAGTCAACATGGGTTCACTGACTTTTCTCTTCAGTTTAAACTCATTCCTTGGAAAGACTTTAGAGACAGGAGTCTGTTAATCTAAAAGGTGGAATGATAAAGCTGTTTGAAATTGGACCAATCCCTATGTTTCTCTCACATCTAGATACTGTACATTAGTGATTCTCAACCTTTTTGACTCTAAGGCCCCCCTTTGTCCAAGACAGTATTCAAAATACCCTCTAATCTAAGCTGATATGCACTGCTGGCTGGTGCTTCTGTTGTAATCAAATTAAATAAACTCATATCATATCATATAATTTTAATGATTTAAAATAAATATATAATTTTAATTTGAATGTTTTTAGTATTTTATGTAGGATTATGTTAATATGACTTATGGGGCCCTCCTGGAAGTTTGTAGGGGCCCCTGGTTGAGAACCACTGCTGTAGATAGCTTGTTAATATATGTAACTTACTAAGCCCATTCTCATGAGTATCTCTTCATTGGCATGCAGGAACTGAGCTTTGGCTGTAGGTGAGTATGACGAAAGACGTCTGTCCCATTCAGTGGGTCCGAAATCTTGCTTGACCTCCATAAAGTCACGCTTAAGTTCAGTAATGCTGGCGTAGTGCTTCAAAATCATCTCATGGGACACATCAAAATCCTAATAAGAGCATATATGAGCAGGATTGATTAGACTAGACAAGCCTTCTTAAATCTTCAGCAGAAAAACCAATATAAATTTCACACACCTCCAGCATCAGAATGCTGTGACGAATATAGACGCTCTCTCCTTCACTTCTCCTTATCTAGAAAAAAACAAGACTGTGGATTAATATGCTCTGGATAAGAAGGAACATGAAAAAAATGGCAGAAACGAATGAGTGTTTCACCTTCCTCATAAGCACCGGCTCGATCTCAGACTGTTAAGAGAGAGAAAGATGATTTTACAGGATTGAAACTTTGACATGTTGCTCTTGTGTATGTGCCGTTTGTAGTATGTGTGTGTTTGTAACCTCAGACTCCAGTGTGATGTTCCAAATGTCTTTTGTCTTCTCCTGATAGGTTTTTGTAATGGACACAGGTTGTGCAGTCGGAGTGGAAGTCAGTGGTTGGTCAGTTGGGATCTGTGGGCGGGGTTTGGGCGGAGCCACTGGGGAAATAACAGGTGTGGGTCGAAAAGTTGGAACTAGAGACAGAGAAAGAAAAGTTCAGGAAGACATGTTAACAGATGTACTGACATTAGAGAGTATTCATTTCTGATGTCTTTTGTGAATCATACCATAATCTTTAGGGGAATCGCCCATAAGGATAAACCAGTCATCCTCCACTTCTGTCCGCAGTTGTACTGTTTTTTTTGTTCTTTCCTCTATTTGTATCTGCTTCCTCCTCTCTTCTTCCCTTCTCCTCTTCTCTTCCTCAGCCCTCCTGTCCACTTTAAGGACATCTGCAACAACTTTATTAAATAGAGTTGAGAATAAGAATTTATTGACAAAGACTGCCAATTGTGCGATAATATAATCTATCCCACTTAGATGTTGTTACTGTTTTCAACATTGATAAAAATAAGAAATGTTTTTGAGCATCAAAATAGCATATTGGAATGATTTCTGAAGGATCATGTGACACTCAAGACTGGAGTGATGATGCTGAAAATTCAAATGACATTTTTTAATTATATTAAAATAGTAAAAAAAAATTTAATTGTAGTATTCCACATTATTACTGTTTTTACTGTACATTTGACCTTAGTGGGCATTAAAATAATCTTACTGACCCCAAACTTTTGAACAGTAGTGCATATTTAAAAATATATAAAATGTGTATGTACTTATTTCTTTTGGTGAAACATCAAAAAGAATGAACCAGTCGTCATCTTTTTCAATCTGAGGCTGTGTTTCTGTTTTCACAATAATAGCTGGTTGCGCTCTTCTGGCTTCCAGCTCTTGTTTTCGCTTCTCCTGTTCTCTTAGTCTCTTCTCCTCCTTCTCCTCCTCCTCCTCTCTCACTCTCATCTGCTGCAGTCTCATTCTTCTGTCTTCCTGTTCTTTCATCCTGCGCACTTCAGTAGCCAGTGAAACTATAGATCAAACATATAAGGGTTTTACTAATTATAATATGTCTCTCACCTGAAGCAATACCAGGATAGAATAGAGAATAAAACATGCAGCTATTCTAATGACCTGAAGGGACGCTCCTCATCTCAGGAGGTGCTGTGTCCAAAAGATCAAACCAGTCATCATCAACCTCCTGAACCCCGACAGGAATCATCTCAAAATCTCTGCTTCTGACATCTGAAAGAAGCACAGGAAACAGTGGAGTTTGCTGTTTTCCATCACGAGAAGCTTGTGAAATTATTTGTGCCATAAATTCATAAAAAAAATGTAAAACTTGCTTTTATGAGAAGCATGCACTAATTAATATTGATAGTAGTATTGGGTAAAACATTTTTTTATTATAATAATGTTTTATGTAATGAAATCATCAAATAATGTCAATGTTTAATATTGCAAATGTATTGAGAAGTCTTTTTTTTAAAGTCAGTTTTCTTCTAGCCATTTTACAATTTTTTTATTATTATTATTATTTGTTTGTTATTGTATTATTGTTGCTATATGTATGTGATAGAGTCCGTTATGTGTGTTACTTGTACCTGATGGGAAACTCTTCTGCTCATACGGCACTTTGTCAAAAAGCTGAAACCAGTCGTCATCGATGTCTCTGGGCACGACTGGAAACTGTGGGGTTTGTATGATGCTCGTCCTCTTCCTCTCTGGTACTATTATTTGTTCTTTAGCGCTCACGGTCATCACCTCAATCACTTGCTCCTCTTTTCTCACTCTGCTCTGAATCACCTCCTCCCTGGTCTCCTCATACAGCTCAACAGTTGGATCTTGCAGTTGTGGGGATGAGGGCACAATGTATGATGAATATTTTGATTTGTGTGTTTGTTACATATGTGCATTTGTGGTTGTGTGTGAGTGTATGTACCAGATTCTTTAGGAGAAACATCAAAAATGATGAACCAGTCATCTTCCACGTCTCTTTGAGGCTCTGCTGCTTTCTGCTCCAGAATAACAGGTTCTGGCCTTTTATAAACCACTGTCACCTGCTCCTGTTGTTTTATCTGCTCCTCCTCTTTTCTCCTTCTCTCCACAGCTCTCTTTTCTTCAGCCTCCAAAGGAGCCACAGACACAACACGAATCTCTGGAGTGACAGGAATTACACATTATCAATAAAAAATCACCACATCAATGATATTGAGTTGTGTCAGTCATTAGAGCAAAAATCCATTAACTTTCTACTTTGTCACATATCATTTAACTTACACTCACAACATCTGCTCATTCCCATCATGTTGCTTGAAGATTATTTTTCTTAACATTAACTTCCCCTACCACAGTGTTTTGGATCTCAAATGTCACAGTTACTTTTTATGTTTGTTACAGAAAAGTGCAGCTTGGACATTCTGCTTAATAACGTCGTTTACAAAAATATATAATCATACAAATATACAGTGACATGAGGGTAAATAACTGATGACAGAATTTTTGGGTGAATTATCCCTCTAATAATGAATCCATCACACAAATGTGCAGGAAGTTCTGGCAGAATTTGAGTGTGATTATGCATGCAGCAAGAAGTACTTCACCTGAAGGGAAACTCTTCTGCTCATACGGCACTTTGTCATAAAGCTGAAACCAGTCGTCATCGATGTCTCTGGGCACGACTGGAAACTGTGGGGTTTGTATGATGCTCGTCCTCTTCCTCTCTGGTACTATTATTTGTTCTTTAGCGCTCACGGTCATCACCTCAATCACTTGCTCCTCTGTTCTCACTCTGCTCTGAATCACCTCCTCCCTGGTCTCCTCAAACAGCTCAATATTTGGACCTCGCAGCTGTGAATACACTAAGGGCTCTGCAACAAACACATATCATTAGGCATGTTAAGATATGTGTGTTTATGCGTGTATGTTCTTGATTCTTCTTGAAGTGTTTGTACCTGATTCTTTAGGAGAAACATCAAAAATTATGAACCAGACATCCTCCACATCTCTTTGAGGTTGTGTTGACTTCTGCTCCAGAATAACTGTCTGTGGTCTCCCATAATCCACCTGCTCCTGTTGTTTTATTTGCTCTATTCTCACTCTTGCCTGGATCACCTCCTCTCGGGTCTCCTCGTACATCTCAACAGAGGACACTGAAACAAACACAATCCATCATATACTGATTTGTGTGTTTTACACGAGTGCATGATTATGGTTGTGTGTGTGCATGTGTACCTGATCTTTTAGGAGAACCATCCAAAGCGACAAACCAGTCATCCTCTTTGTCTATTTGAGGCTCTGCTGCTCTCTGCTCAAGAACAGCTGGCTGTGGTCTCCTATAATCCTCCGTCACCTGCTCGTGTTGTTCTTTCTGGACCTCCTCTGTTTTCACTCTGCTCTGAATCACCTCCTCTCTAGTCTGTGTTTTTGTCTTCTCTGGTGGCACCAGCTCTTGCTGAATTTGTCTCTCTACCTCTCTCTTCTCTTCTTCAGCCTGATCTTCTTCAGGAACGAATCTGCTCACATCTGGTAGCAGAAACCCATTTTAGTGGTTGACATTTGTTGAGAAGTATTTTAAAATCCTATTTATGTATGTTTCTGGTGTTATAATAAAGGGCGGTCAGGAAAAACACACTTGCTTAGCTACTCACAGGTAAACAGTTGGAACTTAATACTGTAAGTAATACAGTCACTCTCCAAATAAATATGAGAACATTAAATATTAATTTAACTATTTTAAAAATGGATTATTTGTTTATTTTTGTAAATTAGTTTTTTTCGTATAGCGTTCACTAAGAAAAAACTATAACGGTTTTGAAAATGATTTCAACGATTCCTCTGTCATTATCGTTCTAGTTGTGGTGTGAACTTCACTATTCTCATAGTATAATGATTATTAAAACTTTATTGTTACAGTTATCTTTCTTTGTGCGAACCAGCCTTAAGAGTAGCTTACTATGTAGGCCTATGTGGTTCCAAATTCATCAATTGCCACAACTAATGGATAACTGAGTCAGGTTTTAAAGTGACAGCACTGCTTTTAAAGTGAAATCTGATGAAGTCTGTCATTGATGTAAATCACAGAACAAAAGAAAAAGAGAACTGGACTGCTCTAGTCGCTGATTAACTTTCGTAGATTGAATAAAGATTCATCTATATAGTTTATGCATAAACAATTTATATTTTATGTGAAGACTGTTATAAGGTCACTTAAAATAAAAGTTGTTATATTTTTCAGAGCCTATTAAATGTTAAAAATAATGGCTTTTAATTATACTGTAATGTTGAATGGCTATAATTAATGGCTAAAATTGAGGTGAAAATGCAGTTAATAGAGACATCAGTAGCAGTATTGGTATATCAAAAATATGGCCTTTGTTAATAATAGGCTACTTAGTAAAGAGATGCCATTAAACACATAGGCTAAGTAAAATATTCCATTATTATGTTGTTTTTACTTTAATTTGGAGGATCAATGTGAAATTTTGACAATATATTAATATACAATTAATCGATTAATTACAGAAAAATGTGTGATTAGTTAATTTTTTTAATCGATTGACAGACAGCACTGATGTTAACCTTTTATTGATGTTGGTGTTGGTAATATTAGTTCATTTTACTGCTGAATATGCATTTAAATTTAATTTCTAATTTTATAGGCCCCCCAGAAAGAAATCTGGACGACCCCCCCACCCCCTTGGCCCCCTTCAAATGTTCAATTTGATAATCCAGCCCCCAATTGAAACTAATTGAATAGCCCTGTTTTAGTTGGACGATGGTAAATATGATATATGATATCTGACAGCTAGATGGTGCAATGGACCAATCAGAATACAGTATTTCAGAGAGCTGGTTAATTAAACGTAAAAGTATACCTGGAAGGGGGTACGATATTTTCATGGTTTGTGGAAGCACATCAAATAGAATGTACCAATCGTCATATTTCTTCATTGGTTTGGGGTTATATACTATCTGTTGCAAATCTTCTTGAACTCCTCCTGATAAAATGTGATATATGACATTCTCAGTTTTCACCTGAGGCATTTCGATTAACTTTGAAATTTAAAGCATTTCAAGCATTTGATGAAAAGCTGTGAACACAATTTCTGGTGACAGATGCGCAGCTGTTCACATGACATACCTGTGGGGGTAGCTGAAGGCATCAATGACATGTGATCTAGTAAAATGTACCAATCATCTGTCTCTGCTCGTTGAAGCTCCTCCTTCTCAACTTGCTGCAACCTTTGTTCCAAACTTTCCACATCCTGTAATCCAAACCTCAGCTCTTCCACCTCAACTAGCTTTCGCTCGATAGCGTCCACCTTTTCTAGTCTCTGTTCCATGATTTTCATTCTCTCGAAAGTGTCCTCAGATCCCAGTGTCTTCTTTTCGGTGATCATTACACATCTTTCTAACATCTCCACCCTCTCCACCATCTTTTTGTCTACATCTTCTTGTGATTCCACCAAAGAGCTGACCTCCTGTGTCCACTGTTTAGTGATTACTACCCTTTGTATTCTTTCTCTATGGACTTCTAGTACTTCTTCTTTGAGTGTCTCCTTTAGAGGTTTCATGATTTCCTGTTTTAATTCAAAATCAGGAAGTTCTTTCTCAATAATGTCAGACCCCTCCTGGATGACCTGAACTTTATATGTTTGTGTTATCACATGCTCATCTGTGAGCCGCTCTTCTGACTCCCTCACAACTTCCAAATCTCCTCTCTGTTCTTCAGTCTGAAGGGGCTGCTGGATGCCTGATAGTAAAACTGGAACAAAATAAAGCAAAATTACCATCAATCAAAGCTTTTTCCTTCAGGCAATGCAAAGTTTAAACGGAAACTAAAATATTTATTTATGCACATCAGTCCAGTGGGACTTGGACATTTCTTCATGAATGTTTTGAGAAATGTCAGCCCAGCTTGCCCTTTTATCCTTATGTCAACAAATTTGGTTGATTACCAGTGTTGGCTTGACTTTTTGGTATGTGGTGAAAGTGAGAAAGCCTAAGTTATGTTCAAGCTTTTTAAAAAAAAAAATAGAATTGACAGTTATCAAATATGTATGTATGTATGTATGTATCTATCTATCTATCTATCTATCTATCTATCTATCTATCTATCTATCTATCTATCTATCTATCTATATTTCTATCAGAGTCTGTGCATGTTTAGTTGGCCATGGATGTGTGGCACCAACGGCACCGAATAAAGCCCTTCTATAATGTCCACAGTGGTCTTTTGGGAGTGTTAAAAAGACTTACATGGGCTGCCGTCAAGGAGGACACACCAATCATCCACATGATGCTTCCACTCCTGCAGCTTCTCACTTTCTAGCATCACATCATCTGTACAGGATGTTTTCAGTTCATCAGAAAATATTTTTCAATATTTCAATATTTTCAAAAAGAAAGAGAAGGGAAAAGACTAGACCAAAACAATGTATAATGCAAATGACTATGTATATGTTTAAAACACATGAATTATTAATTAAAATAAATTAAATTAATATGTGTTTGGCATGAGATCAAATGTATTTGTTGTTCATTTAGATTATTATTTTAATTATTTGAATATGCCTTACCTGATGTAGAAATGCGCCATTTATCTGGACCATAGACCAGGAACCAGTCATCCAACTCTGTCCGAATTGGTTGTTTTAAAACATCCAGAATTTCTTCATTTCCTGAAAAGAGATATATCATATTTACCTTTGTCCAACTAAAACAACTACTTGCATGTTTGCAAACAAACATTTAATTAGTCAATCACACGTATCCACAAAAAAATACATCAATAAAAAGCTAATTATCTAAAAACAAATCTAAAAAACTAAATAAAAAGAAATAAACCTACTAAATCAAATATCTAACCAAACTAAAGCATGAATCAATCGATCAATCAATCAATAGTTGCCTTTTCTCTTGATGATAAAGCGTCTGAATCGTGGAGGGGCCCGAGTGATGTTGCCGCTGGCTTCCAGACACTCAGACTGAGTGCGTCCATGGTAACAGAACCTTGAACCCAAGGTCAGGAGACTTTTTGTTTTTTTGTCTTGAAGTCTGTTTCTGAGAAACACATACAGAGGTATGGTCTTATGACTTGAAACTTCCCATAGATGTTCAATGAGCATGTTTTTACTATAGAATACTGTATTTGCATATATTTGACTGGCGCGCCCCCTTGTGTTTCTAATGGTCATATGATACAAAACACTGCTGCACCTTGTTAAGCCTTGGTTGTGTAATACAGTGTTTCCCAACCGGGGTGCCCTGAGAGCAGGGGTGCCGTGTAAAAAATCATTTTTGAATATTTTTAAATTGCTAAAATGTTTTTTTAAAAATATAATCTATTATATAATATCCATTTCTGATGTCGCCAATAATTAGAGATGCACCGAAATTTCGGCTGCACATGTTATGCTCATGTGTTCTGATAATAATAGCTTTCTAGGACTAAACATTATTTGGATAATTGGTATAAAAAAAATAAAAAAAAAGTTTAATATCTTAACCCTACTGTTAGACCTACCTGAAAAACTAAAAAGCTATTTATTTAATTCGAAGGCCTGTTGTTATTTTTTATTTGTGCTATCATTATTAATTTCTTTATTTGTTCTTATTTTATTACTGACTGCTTACTTGTCATTTTTTATTCAATTCAAAGTTTGAAATCAAGCTATCTAGTGCTACTGCACCACAATTACCCCAGTGTAAAATTAAAAAAACACTTGAGTGAGCAAAAATTTGTGAGATAGCTAGTTATAATGGTAATTAAATCATGTTTACATATGTATAAAAGCCTACATTAAAATCTGTCATATAAATTGGTCTCTTCATTAGAAATTAGCCTACTGATTGCCACCTTTGAAGGACAATTTTTTTTAACAATATTACAAATATCTGTATGAGATTATATTCTGCAGTTCTTCCCTGCTTTACCGAATGTCTATACTTTTCAAATCATCATATCGAAGTTAGAAATTCAAATATTGTGACAAAATTAATTTTGTAGGGTGCCACAAGTTTGTTAAAATTTCCAAAGGGTGCCGCGACTAAAAAAAGGTTGGGAAACACTGGTGTAATACACATACATACATGGACTTACCTGAAGAAACTATGATGTTCCACACAGCATTTCCACAGTTGTTTGCAGGCTCGGTAGTTGGCCAAACTGAAGCTGAAGGCACCCTCAAACTCATCCTGCTAAATCAGGTCACATGGAAAAATGTAACCCACATAAACACAACAAAACTCCTGAGTTTGTCACTACACCAGATGAGTAAAAGGAATGCATAATCCAACATTAACATATGGAGAAAATAAATAAATGGGTTATGGAGAATGGTTATGGAAAATGAGTGTGCAACCTCAGAAGGGCGCATCTTCAGAAGAAAGGTGCTGCGTTTGTGGGAGATTTTAAGAACTCTGGGCCAGAGGAATATATTTGTTTTAATCTCATCCTCATATACCATCAGTCCTTCAGAGCAAACGCCGAGCATCACATCTGCATCATTGACATCCTATGAACATATCAAACATTATACTAAAGATGTGCACTGTTCATGTCATGTTAAAGGAACAGTTCATCCAAAAATGAAAATTCTGTCATCATTTATTTAACTTTATGTCGTTTCAAGCCCACTTTCTTTCATCTTTGGAACAAAAAGAAGACAGAAAGTTGTACATGTTTGGAAAAAGAAGGTGAGTAAATGTCCAATGTTGTTTTGCACCCTACTGACTTTAATTGTATGAACAAAAATAGTCTTCAAATTATCGTCTTTTGTATTCCAGAGACGAAAGAAGTTATACAGGCTTGAAAAGACATAGAGGTAAATAAATGATGACATAATTTCCATTTTTGGGATGAAATACTATGAAGACATTCCAAATATATTCCAAATTTGAGTTTACTAAATAAAGTTACTTTGGCAGGATGCAGGTCTACTCCATACATGGGGAGCCCCATGGCGTTCTCAAGGAAAAGCTTATCTGCTTGAGCAGGATTCATGAATCTGTGCAATAAAAGAAATTATACAAATTTCTGTTGTTTTGTATGTGTTAGAGGACATATGTGTGAGTTTGATTGTTGGTACAGGATACCTGTATGTGGAATGCAGCTCCATTATTCTCTCCTCCAACTCTTCACTCTGATTGGGTGCAAGAACAATTTCACTGACATAGTTGTTCTTGTGGAGATTTGGGTCATAATCACCAATTGTTGACTGAACTGTGTATGAACCCAACAGAGCCAGGATGTCTGGTGGACAGGGCAGTCGGCCAATCAGAATATCTTTCCTCAGCTGAAGACACAGGAGATATCTGAGAGAATTACACAGAATAGTGAGTGTTCAGTCAACACAGAAAGAAAAACATGCACAAACATATCAACGTAACTACTCTGTATATACACAACATATATTCAAACAGTCTCAAGGAGTTTGGTGTATTTGTTTAATAATAATAATAATAAAATAATAATGATACTTTGAATCTAAATTTACATATAGAGCCTTTCAGGATTTCAAGGTTGCTTCACAAACACTTTAAAAAAATGCTAATCCAAGCAAAAACAAATAGTACAGAGACAGAACAAGGATAAATCTGAATGCAACAGAGCGAGGAAACATTAGAAAATAGTGTAAATAAGTCAGATTTCAGTTAAGTTTTGAATATCTGGATAGTTTGTGTGTCTTATTGTACCTTGTGATGTCTTCAGCTAGAATGGAGGGATCAGGTGGGTAAAACTTGATGCTGACAAAGAATTCAGTTACTGGACCTGAAACCAACATACAGGGAATAGACACAGAGATGAAAACACAAGAATCTTTACCATCCACTAAAACAAACAAACACACATACTTTTTATCTGTTTTCGGATCTCTTTGGCACAGTCCAGCCATACCTGAAATAAACACAGAATAATAATACTTTTAAAATTTTTTTTAAAATAAGTAGTTTTAATTGATCAAATATTTAATATAATAGAATCTCTATATGTAAGCCTGATATAAAAAAAAAAGAATAAATACCCGGGTACTAGGAGAATCCCACATGACCAGACCATAATAATCCCTCTCCAACAGGTCAAGGTGTTCACAAACTTTATTAAAGAGATCCTGTCCCAGTGCATTTCTCTGTGGATGAAAAAAAGAGAATTTTATTGTTAATATCTGTATTTTTAATGTCTTTTAATCTTTACAGTAAAAATATCTAAACATTCTTAAAACAAAATAAATGTACTTATCTGAATAATATAAGACTGGTTTCCAGTCAATATACCTTATTATTTATTTATTTATTAATTTACTTATAGTTTTGTTTTTGGTTTTAAGCATGAATCTCATTAATTGATATATTTCTACTTAGAAAATATTTGCTAGTTGAGTAAGAAAAATAAACTTAATTCATTATTAAGACATTATTTTAGGATATTATAAGATATATTATTATAATATCATTATACAGAGAGAAGGTCTTTGTACCTCCAGCTCCCACACAAAGTTGGTGTCATCCAGGAAATTCACTCGGCACTGCAACATGTCTCTCAAACCTTTCTCTTCTCTTCTATTTATTCCTCTGGTGGTGGAATTCAGTCAGTCTCATACTCTCCCCCCACTTTATATATCAGGGAATGAGCTGCAAACGTTCAATTCTCTTCAGAACTGCAGTTTAATTCACATTCATGTTACTGCGGTTCTATAGTGTAGCAGCACATGTCTGTATGCGGCATCATAAGAGGCCCTGCCCTCCTGCACTGTCCCGTTTTGTGATAGTATGAGTGTTTTAGAAAGATATGGCCCCTTCCCCCAGCTCACATACAAATACACATGCCTGTTTACAGCAATGAGTGAGGGGGTCAGTCATCACATGATACACATGAATTTATTTGTCCATCATGACTGGAGAAAGAGCAGGCAAAGAGGAATCACTTCAGTAAAAATGGATCATTTACAGTTTTTAATATGATGTTACCCGCTCTCTTCTGACTGAGATAAACTGATAAGAATGGGTGGGGAACCGAAAATCTTCATGCAACTCTTCCCTCACGCAACATCTCATGACAAAATATGGGCGCAGTGATACTGTTAACATGATATGCACTGCATGGCTTGAAATGACCTTTTAAATAATACTTGGTTTATATAAATAATGTTGTAGTTTGAAAAATAATATTAATGTTAACCATTTATTTCAACTTTTTTTTAGAATTCAAATATCCTGACGAATTTGGAATATTCTTTGTCACTCACATTGTTAAAGCTGCAGTCCATAACTTTTTTGTGTTCAAAATTTACAAAATGTATACAATAAGCGAGTACACCATGAATCCATTTTCCAAACCGTGTTTTTGTCCTGAATCACTACGGTACACACCTATAATAAGTGTTTATATTCGGACTATTTAGACTGGTTCGGTTAGGTACCGCTGCGGAGTAGCCCAGTACCTGCGTGATTCGCCATAGACAAACAGAGAGAAGTAGCTCCGGCTACAATGTTCTTCCGCAAGACGCACGCAGTTCTGTTGATTAACCGCTTGAGCGCCAAAAGTTACCGACTGCGGCTTTAAATAACAATCAGCAATCATAAAATCTGCATCATTTTTAAGATTTGTACTTTACATTTTTCTTTCAAGTTGAAAATGACTACTTATTATTTCCTTTGCATAATCCATATTAAACAACTCTGTAGGGAAAATAATGGAAGATAAAACTTAATGGAAGATAAAAATAATAGAAGATTTGAATGATTGATTTACCTGTAAATGTGAGGTGTTTATTGGCCTTCTTCTCATGTAGAAGCTCTCACAAACTATCTGTGACAAGGGTGGAGGATCAACACAAATTCCTATGACGTTAGTACAGAGATGAATTGTGAAGATGAAACCAGACCCAGTATCTTAAACAAAACTGAAAACACTATTTTGAACACATCTCCTCCAATAACACAGCTAACAACCTTTTTATTCTTTAGTAGCTAACTTCAAAGTGAAGAGCTACAGCCTCCACAGACACAGATATATTCCTACCACGTTTACTGATATGAGGGGTACTTGAGTCTAAATATGGGACTGTGCAAGCTTTTCCATCAATTTATCCATTCTCTAAACCTCTACTCCTATGTAAGGTCATGGGGAGGCTGGGGCCTTTCTTCTATTTAACATTATATATACGTGCAATTTGATATTACTATTAAATGTGTGTATGCATTGTCTTGGACAAATGAATACCAGAGCAGTCTTCTGTCTGTTATGTCTCTCAGTGCAGAGGAAAGTATAGATAAAAGTATAGAGAAACTTATTTGTAAGTCGCTTTGGATAAAAGCGTCTGCTAAATGACTGAAAGTAAAGTGAAAGTAAAGAAACTCAAGATAGATTACACTATAACTGTCATACTTTTACACATGTACAGCCTAAAAGACATTTAAGACCAGTGGCTGGACTGATTATCCCTTGGCTAACGGCTAGTTGATCGGACTAGTTCTTTAGACAGAGTTTTAACATAGCAGCTGTTTTTGCAACTGTCCAGCTGTCAGATTATTGCAAAATGCATTAGGGTCTAATGATAAACTCTGTTAATTAAAGCCAACATGCAAAATAACCTTTTAGTTTTGAAAATCCCACATATGAATCTGTTTTGTGGTTGAAAAGGCTGTTTACCGCAATACTGGCATACTTTTAACACTTCCAACAATTTATTCAAAACATGCACTTTCACAATAAGTTGGACATCAGTCTTAGCTAATCTTAATGAGATTTTTCTATTATTAACCAATGTAGTGTTCCTTTTTTGACTGGAAGACATTAAACTGAAATGCTGCTGGAGACAGAAAAAAACCACAAAACACATTCAGTCTGATAAGTGAGATAATTTTTGTTATTATTTAATTAAACGTTGGTTCTTTAACTATCACCCCCGCTAATATCAAAAGCTGTACTGTATAATTGTAATTAAATATACCTGGCACAATTAAATGGCAAATAAAAATGGAAAACAATTGTCTTTAAACAAAAAAAGATAATGGCTGAAATAGAGTTGTTCAGGTTCAACTTTTATGTTGACCCCTATCATTCAACAATAGTATGGTTTTAAGTAGATTGATATAAAAGACATTCCCTACTGAATGATCAATAGTGTTTTAGCAGCAATAAAGCCATTTACATTGTGGAGGACAAGGAAAAAAATACCTTCACCCTGACATAGCAAATCACACAAACATAATATGGAGGAAAAAATAAAAAATAAACATGAATCATGACATATGTTTTAGTATAATATATCAGAATATGCTGTTCACCTCCTTTGAGTTTCCATTTCTTTCTTTCCCATTCTCATTTAAATGAATTTTCCATGTCCAGTACAAGTTATTCACAAACAACAACATTTGTGGCATCACGTTAATTACCAGAAAAAAAATTTCAATTTGTCCCTTGTTTTCTTAAAAAAAAAAAAAAAAAAAAAAAGAAGCAGCAAAAATTAAGGCTCACAGTTATGGTGCTGCAGTTGAAATGAAAGCACTTACATTCATTCTTCTTTTTAAACTTTTTTTATCTGTAACAGTTTAAATTACACTTGTTTAAGGGTTTATGGCATTACAGTGTCATGGTTGATGTCCTGTTTGAAATGCTGCTGACTGAGATTAACTTCTACTGAATCCTAAATGTTCCTTGAATTCTGTTCAAACTAAGTAGCAACTTTAGTGAAGGTTTTAGACTCTTCAGTCTCACCAGGCTTAGATGTTAAAGAAACAAAGCATATTTACTTATTGTTTGTGTATGGTCACTTTAGCAGGCAAGATAGTGATGGGTGTACTCTGGAGCCCTGGGCCAAAGATGGGGAACAGCTTTCCAGTGAACTTATCATTATATGTACATAGGTGCTTGTTGTTGCCTGTATCCCAGAAGGACACCTCTCCCTTCTCCATATTGACCTTTACCCTGATGGTTTCAGGCCTTCTCTCTAGATTCAGCTCAGTGCGTGGAGTGGTCAGTGCACTGTAGACTCCTTTACTCATACCGATGGTCCACACTCCGGCTGTTGTTGTTACTGTGAACTTCCTCTTCCGAACCACTGACTCCTTGCATACACCCAAGATCCATTTGGGGTGGTCAGCCACACGGACCTCCCAACGGTGGCGTCCTGAGGAGAAACCCTCTGAGCCAAGGACAAAAACACAGGGATCAAACCTCTCAGGGTTGTCTGGGTAGGTCTGTCTTTCCAAACTCTGTTGCACACTGGAAAAATCAGGAGATATGGAGAGCCAGGGAGAGACTGTGTTGGGATCCAGGATTACAGGCACTGCAGACAAAACAATGTTACAGTGATTCACAAAGTTAATCTTACACACATTTTAGACGAGGTGAAAAGTGCACTCACAACATGTGACATGAGACAGCATCTTTTCCCAGACTTTGTAACCCAAAGCGCCTACATGCAAGGCCATGTTGATGAGAGCTCCTTGAATCTTCTTTGGTTCCTCACCAGTCCACTGGGTTCTGTGACAGACATCAAGAGATCATCTTTACCTTACGTTCAACCTCTTACACACAGCTAAATTACAGTCACAACAAAACAGAAGTATTGACAGATCTAGTCTCCCCTATTGCTACATACATCCGAAACAATTTATTGAAAAAGAAAAATATGCAGAATGGGGAGTTGGTTCGATGCATCAGTTGTTTGAAATTTCAGACGTGGGTGTTGCGTTCAAAAGTACAGATGGATGAACATGAGCTTTTGGAGAAGTTCTGCATTCATAGAGAAGTCTGTCATTTTCACCGTAAGGTCCAGTTATGCCATTTTAATAAAACATTATGAGGTAAAAAAAACACATGCACGGATAAATTGTTCACATTAAAGGTGCGGTCACATTTACTGTTGTTTGCCGAATTTTTCATGGGTGAAATCCAGTTTCAATAGGAATCTACGCTACTGGAATTTCTGGCATGAGGGCAAAGGATTTCCCCACTCAGATTTTGCAACGGTTTCAAGTTGGTCATGAAAATTTGCCATGTTGACCAACAGAAAGTTGCTTGCTTTGAAAGTGACTTCTTTGTGAACAAATGTACATGAATACTTCTTTGGGTTTATCTAGGCATTGTGTTTTGTGTTATTATTAAACCTATTTCTCAAAATGGCACGCTGGTGTGCTTTCCCTGAGCAAATGTCATGAATGTGCAGTCGAGCACAACAGACCAACAGCTAATGGTCAGGATTTTGATAAATTATAAATTACATTTTGGTTTGTTTTTCACCAAACCCTATTGTACTGTAAATCTCAAGAGTACTTAAGTAATCAGGGATAATTCCGTTACAAGGGACATTTTCATTAATCACGTTCAGTAATTTTCTTACCCTTTAGGATCTATAACATGAATTTAGAATCTAGATGGGGTGAATTTTTATTTCATGTGGACTTTAATATACGTTTTAAATATGACTTATCTATAGTGGTATTAAGCAAGCAATTCATAGCAAAGCAGACCTAAGAAACATTTGATAAAATAAAAAGGCACATACCGTCTTTTTAGCCTCTGGAAATTCTGTGGAAGAAGAAAAGTTGATTCATAAGAGCTGAATGTGGGACATGTCTGATTTCGTTATCAGTTATGTTAAAGCGTGAGAAAACCTGCCAGTATAAATGTAAAGGGTCAATGACGAGATTTCATGTCAAGTCCTCTTCTACACTTGCCATTTTTAAATCTAGACTGAAGATAGATTTTTCGGCATTGGCCA